GGAGCCTAAATTGCAACTCTGGCACGGTTTTGCCGCACGGTTTTTCTCGACTCCGCCCACTTTCCCCGGTTTTTTTCTTTCCCCGGAATTTGCGGGGTCTCCCTTTCGAGACTGTCAAGGACAAGGATTGCTCGCTCGGCTTTTCCTCGTGTACGATTCTCGGACAAATTGCCCCAGTTTTTGAAATTGTAAACAACATCATTTTCGTCGAATTTTTCGAAATTCCGCATCGATTTTTCGGTTCCGTGCCCCCAAAACTACCCAAACATCGTAGTTTCCCGAGCTTTTTCTATCAAAATTCAAATTTTTATGATTCCCGCCAATTCGAAATTCGGCTTTTGCGCTCTGTTGCCAACTTTGTTTACAACTTTTTCCAGCTTTTTGTTTACAAATTGACCTATTTTAAGAAAAATGTAAACAAATTTGTTTACACAATGGATTTTCGAAATCTCATTCATTCACTTTGATTTCATCTGAGATTGTGACCAACGAACAAATCTCATCTTCAATTGCGGTGAGTAAAATTCAGTGTATTTATGACATAAATTTCTCAATTTTCCAGAATTCACAGCAAATCAACATGGAGAAAGTTAAGAAAAACGCCGTCGAAGCCAAGGACGCAGTAGCCGGAGCGGTGAGCCGATTTCAAAACAAACCTCATTTTCATACCGTTTACTTTTCAGTTCAGCCACGCTGGCGAAAAGATTGGCGACGCCTACGACAGCACCAAGAAAACCGCTTCTGATGCGGCTCATGCAGCTAGTGACAAAGCTGGAAACGCATGGGACACAACGAAGGACAAGGTTGCTGACGCCAAGGACAACGTCGAGGTAGAGAAGCTTCCAGAAGGAGTATTTTTCTAAATATGATTTTTTCCAGAACAAAGCCGGCGACATCTACAACTCTTGCAAAAACAAGGTTGGAAATGCATGGGATGCTACCAAGCACAAGGCTCATGATGCCAAGGAGGCAGCTAGCGACGACGCTTCTGACAAAGCCAATTCGCTTAAAGAGAAGACCGGAGACAAGGTGTCTGGAGCTTGGGAGGTTGCCAAGGACAAGGCTCAAGACAAGGCTGACGACTACAAAGAACGTTGTAGTGAGGCTAAGGACAGAGCTCTCGGCCAACCTCACGGTCCTCTCGAGACTGTCAAGGACAAGATCGGAAGTGCTTGGGAGGCCACCAAGGAAAAGGCTCAGGATGTTGTCGATTCCTTCAAGGGACACGCTACTGACTCCAAGGACAGTGCTCAAAACAAGGCTGCCGATGCTTACAACTCGGGTAAGGACGCTGCTAGAGACGCTTGGGATGCAACCAAGAACAAGGCCGAGGAGCTTAAGGACAACGCTCAAGACAAAGCAGACGACTACAAGGAGCGCTGCAGTGAGGCCAAGGACAGAGCTCTCGGTCAACCTCACGGACCATTCGAGACTGTCAAGGACAAGATCATCGAAGTCAAAGACAGAGCCACTGGCCAGCCTCACGGACCTCTCGAAACCGCCAAGGACAAGATCGAAAGTGCTTGGGAAGCAACCAAGGAAAAGGCTCATGAAGTCGTCGATTCCTTCAAGGGACACTAGGAACCAAGTTCCCTTGTAACAAATATATGTTTACTGTGTAAATAAACCGGTTTTTATGTAGTTCTTAAATTATTGACATTTGAAAATCCAGGTTCTGGAAAATGTTTCTTTTTTTTTTTTTTGATTTTCAGAATTTTCGTCTTACGGATCGGTTCCGAGCTCCCCAATTGGTTTCAAAATGCCTGGCAAGCTTTATTTTCAGCCAAGGAGCCGGTCTTGAATACTAATGAGGGAACGAAGCGTTCGAAATTTAAGTAGAGTGGGAAAATTTATATATTTTTGCTCTGGAGCCAAAAGAAACAAGTTCTCCTCGCTTTTCAGGCATTTTTACACTTTTTTCGGCTCCAAATTCTCCCAGACAACAACACCTCTCCCTTGTTTCTAATATGTTTCCCCCGAAAAACCAAAACCAATCATTTTCGTTGCCCCACTTCCTCTTTGGTGTTTTCTCTCTCCGTTCAATCTTTCAATTTTCTTCTTTTTCTTGCAAAACAAAAAAGAGTACACTGTCCTCTCCCACACATCAAAATGAGCACCAAAGAGGAAAATTTAGGGAGAAGAAGGTGCAGAAATGGAGTCGCAACCAATTTTGAGAAGGCATCAATTATTATTTTTTTTTTTTTTTTGAGGATTTCTGGGCTCAAGAATTACAGTAGTTTAATGGTTTTTTGCTATACGATTGTTAGAAGCGGAAAAGGGCGAAAATAAGAAAATTGATCGTTTTTTCAAGAAAAAACCTACAATTTTAGCGATTTTCCAGAGAAAAACTAATTTTTTGTTCAATTTTTGGGGAATTTTTAGACCTTTTTAGGTTTTTTCAGCTATTTTCAAAGATTTTTTTTTCAATTTTTCCAGTTTTTTCGTTAGAATTTTGATGGAACGGTGTTTGGTTATTGTATATTACTGTAGATTACTGTGGAAAAAACTAATTTCCTTTTGTAGTTTTTTGTCTGCATTATGACGTAATTTTGTTTGCAAAAATACAATTCTACAGTAATCTTTGCAAACAACATCCTGTCAAATTTCAAAAAATTTGAAAAAATCGAAAAAAATCTTTAAAAATAGCTGAAAAACCAAAAAGGTCAGAAAAATTTTCAAAATTGAATGAAGATAAGTGTTTCTCTCGTAAATCGCAAAAAAACCGAGAATTCGTAAACTAAAATATTTTCGGTGATGTTATTTATCGTTGTGGGACCTTCGGCCTCGGCCGCCGGCGCTTCTCTTCCACAGCTTAGAATTTTTGTACCAAATTAATAGGCTTCAGATGAAAAACCTCATTTTTCTTCCACTGGAACATTTAAACAATAGCTCCAAATTCAAAAATATGACGAATAATTTTCGGGGACTTCAAACTAGAATTTTTCTACGGAATTCTGAACATTTTGAAAATTTTGAATACCAAGCTCTTTGGCCTACTTCCTACTCTCATCTTTCGATTTCTCTTGAACCGCTTCAGAAAATTTTCTGCAGAAGATTGTACAGTTTTTATTTTTAAGATACACAAAAAGAAGGAAAGAAAGAAAGATATTGCACAAATTGAAGGCACTTATTTTTATATAATTCTCCTCTCGAAAAGTTCTTCCTACTTCGTTTTTTTCTACAGTATTCCCTCCCAACTGCAATAAATTCGTTTAGTGGTGTTAGAAGGAAGAGAGGAGGGCAAGAAGCAATAATTTTTTCTGAATTCTTTTTTTTCAGAATCTCGATGTCGTTTCTTTTTTCTTCAACGTCATCTAATATTATATTATTCTTCTTCCTTTTGCTTTCTTTGTTGTTTTTATTTCCTTTTGTTCATTTTTTCCTATTTTTTCGAACTGTTTCTCCAAGAGTTCACTTCTAGCTCAATTATCTCAACTTCTATTAGAGATATCAAAAATTTGTCTACTGATAAAATATTTAACATAATATCAGAAATGTTTTGTCAGTTGACACATTTTCTATTTCTCTTACAGGAGTTGGGATAATTGAGCTCAAAGTGTGCCTACCATATTTGCTCGTATACATAGAATCCCACACTATACGTGCACCTTGAGCTCAATTATCTCGGTTCCCATGATAGATATCAAAAATTTGCTAATTGATAAAATGTTTGTCAAATTATTTCCTTCATTTTATCAGTTGACAAATTTCAGATATTTCTTACAGTTACCGAGATAATTGACCTCAAAAATAGACGTATATCTATTGGAGCTGATGACCTTCAAATTCCAAAGAAAACATTTTCTGGGAAACAATTTCTCGGAGAA